TATTAAGTTCTGGGGAATGAGTACATTCAAAAACAAAGACACAAGCATTTGGATGGGGATGGGGATAGGTTTATTTCTAAACGCAAGATGAATTAGTGTTATGCCAAGCAGTAAGTCCTCAAAAACCTGATATTGTTCCATTTGATATTTTGAATAGAATGCTATGCCACAATATAATTTTCTTAGAGGTAACTCTAATTTAGAAATCCGGACACTGCACAAGGTTCCATCTTCTTCTTTTTTGATGAAGTGAAGTCAACATACTGTATCAGGAATGATATTTATTAACCTCTTTCTCCAGAAAAGTAGAACAATCAAGGAACACATTTGTTTGGCCTAAAAATCAAGACAGATTGTATGCAATAGCAGGCATGAGGATCTATTTCCTCAGGGATTCGGATACCACAAAAACATTGTGTGTGTTTTTTTTAAAGATGCTGGAAGAAATACAGAAAGAGAACTGCACCATAAACTCTGAAGCAGCTGAATTTTTCACTCAGCACAGAAGGGACACATTTTCTATGGAACTTAGCATTTGTGGATTTATGAAATGCTATTTTAGCAAAAGATGAGTGGAAGTATAACAGAACAGTAAATAGACAAATTAATGGACAACAAAGTAATGAGACAGTTAATAAGCAGAGTTAGAGGATGACAGAAATAAAAGACTCCTGATCAACAATGTTGCAAAAAAGAGAATTATTCTGGCTACATTCCATTATTGGATAAAACTTTTTAAAGGTACCAAGTTATTCCTTTGGTTAGCATGGTTCATAGATAAATGGTTTTTTAAAGCTATCTTGGTGGATTTGTGAGCTATATCAGTAGTAAAGGGAGTCCTGCTGCTTCCCATAAGTTAAAAATCATAGCAGCAGCTGTTCTGTGGAACAGTGGGGTGGGGGGGTACCTGGAATTGACAACCTGGGTAACTTCCCTAATGTTTGCTAGGGTGCCTTAGAAGTCTAAAGAAAAAAGTCTACATATTAGCAATTTTAACACTGAGTTAAAATAACTAGTTCAGGAAACACACACAAAAAACCTATAAAGAATTAAATAAGTGGCTAGCAATGTTTGAAAAGTATGTAAAAAATCCCCAACAACTTGTTTTATATTTTAAAAAATGACCTTTGCAAATAACTTGCAAAAGTTAAGGGTAGCAGGAAAATCCTTGAATGGAACAGAACTGATTTTCAAAAAAAAAATGGCCAAAAATAATCAAGTATCTCTATTAAAAGATGCATTTTCTTTCCACACTAATTTTCATTCTAGATTCTAATCATCATTGTCGTGTCCATGCTTGTGGAGTATTGCAATACTCCCAAAGATGCTTTTTTCAAGAGGCAACTGGACTTTCTGGTTTTTCTTTGAAGACGTTTTGCTTCTCATCCAAGAAGCTTCTTCAGCTCTAGCTCCCCACCATCCAGTCAGAACTGAAGAAGCTTCTTGGATGAGAAGTGAAAAGAAAAACCAGAAAGTCCAGTTGCCTCTTGAGAAAAAGCATATTTGGGACAACCATGACCTGGATAACTGAGAATCTCCATAGACTATTGTAATACTCTTTTTCAGGAGAATCATTGGAAAAGGGGGAACATAAATCAATAAGGACAACATGCTGATTTTTCTATAAAACGTGAAAGACGAACTTTCCCTAAAGTATTTGGAGACAGAACCAGTCCCTTCATTTTTGCTAATTCCTAATAATGTCCGGGATTTTATAAAAGAAACAACAATTTCAAGGATGAACTTGAAGACACTCAGAAAATTCTTTTGAAAGCAGAAAAAAAAGAAAAATTCTGACTTAGCACCACTACTGAATAGTATGTGTGAGTGAACTGATTTCATCAGGCTTTTTGCCTAAACATTGTAACGAATATTTCATATAACAACCTGAAATGCATTAAAAAATTTACTGAGAAAGTAGACTAGAAAATGAGGTTTTATATTTATATAAACTCTAGAAGACATATGTTGAAGAATATTATTAGCAAAATAGCATAAATATTATCATCAGCATAAAAATCTTCACTCATATCAAACTGAAGAATAAATTTAATAGCACTTAATGTGAGTGCATACAGCCCTTTTTAATCAGTAAATCCAGAGATCACCAGTTCATTTTTGTTCATTTTCAGAAAAAAATCCTCAAAGAGCTTCCAGTCTTTTCTAAAAGTAGCTATTGTACCTTCCCTAATAAAATAAGTCAAATTTAAATTAACTTTAATCAAAACTATCTGTGAGAAGCTGATCAAAGTACTAGATCAATGGCTGTATCTTATATTTTCTGTATAACATATCTGCATTTATTTGGAATAGTAACCTACAAGTCAGTAACTAGCATGTTGTATGTATAACACTCATGACTATGAGCTCATTCTGCTTACTATGGCTGAAAGATGCGACAATAAGCATATTTAAAGGACAAGTTGTCATGATGTCCACTGTCTCCTCCCTAGCCTTCTACATAAATATTTCCTCTTTAGTTGCTCTGGTGTGAAAAAAAATGTTTTTCTTTCTCCTTCCAAAACAAAACCTGTTATAAGGACAACGTAAGACACTAACTACAAGTAAATGGTTACTCCACTAGTGAGAAACAATGGCAAGAAGGAGATGGGCAGCAGGGAGAAGGCAGAACTGCTTAATTCCTTCCTTCCATCTGTCTTTTGCATCTGGAAAAGATATTCAAGAAGTGGATTTATGAGCACCTAAAAATACAGGGTTATTCTTAGAAGCCAGCGTGGATTTATTAAGAACAGGCCATGCCAAACAAATCTTATTGCCTTTTTTAATAAAGTGATTAAATTATTGGACCAAGGAAATGTTGTGAATGTAATATACTTATTAGAGTTCAGTAAGACATTTGATAAAGCAGACCAGAGCCTGCTTGGTAAGATAAAATAATGTGGGACAGATGGTACCACTTCCAGATGGATTGGTAGTTGGCTGACTAACCACGCTCAGCATGTGGTCCTCAGTGGAACTATGTGGAGAGAAGTATGCAATGGGGTTAATCAAGGTTTTGTCTTGGACTTTGCAGAGGGAGATCTAGCCTGGAAATAAGAAGGAATTTCCTGACTGTGAAAATAATTAATCAATGAAACAGCTTGCCTCCCATAGTTGTATGCGCTCCACTGCTGCATGTTTTCACGATAAGACTGAACAATAATTTGTCTGGGATAGTTTATTAAGTAGTAGAATAGCTTGCCTCCTAGAGTTGTAGGTGTTCCATTGCTGGAGGTTTTCAAGGAAAGATTGGATAATCATTTGTCTGAGATGGTATAAGGACTCCTGCTTTGGGCATCAGGGAAGGGCATTGGACAAAAGACAGTGAAGGTCCCTTCCATCCTATGATTCCTACGGAGTACAGGTATAATGAAGTTAGGTGGCTTAATGTTACAGTGTCTTAGCTGTGAGAAGCCGAGAAACTTGCCTAATCTCTCTCTCTCTCTCTCTCTCTCCCTCCCTCCCCCCTCTTTTTTTAAAGGGAAGGATCAATGCCTTACTATAGGGATCACAATACCTGTGAAACTCCTGATTAACAATTTTATGCCAGTACTAAATTCCCCTCCTTACGGTCTTTTCACAATATTAATTTAGGAATAAAGCTGGATACTTATTCAGCAAATCAGAAGTTTGGTTTTCCTCAGCCAACTCCCAAACCCCAAGCAAGCATTTACATTTTTGTAAGAGAGAAAAAATAATCAGCCTGTAACATAATTGCAAATTGGAAAGAGGGAAAAAGCCACCACAGAAGTTTATTTGTAAACCCCTGCTTATATTATGGTAAACCCCTGCTTATATTATGGTGGAACATTTATGTGCAATGGTTCATAATTACATTGGATTGTCCTCCAAAACATATGTATGTCAAAGCTTGTTTGCATCATAACTACCACAGCTAGTCAATGTCATCAGTGAAAGTCACAAGAAATTGACAGGCACTGAAGTTGTTCAGAAAAGCAAGGATATCCAAGAACTAGTGGCTACATGTACAGTAATTACATCGGCAGAAGATAAAAAGCAATTTCATTAATTTTTTTCTTGCACTTTATTCCTTAAGCATCTAAAAATTATCAGGTAATATATCACATGTTTGTTCATCATACAGCCCCCAACATTCTCTTGTCATAGATTTCTGAGCACCACAAGGTTCAAACAGCTAAAATTAGCCATAAACTGCCAAATTACAGGACCCTGATTTACTATTAATCCGTTACTTTGAATAATACACACACACACACACACACACACACACACCGTTTCTTAGTGCTTTACAGTCCACTCTAAGCAGTTTACAGAGTCAGCACATTGCCCCTCAACTATCTGGGTCCTTATTTTACCGACCTCGGAAGGATGGAAGGCTGAGTATATGAACTCCAGATTGGATTTATATACCAACAACAACAACAAAATAAACATTAGTTATCCTCTCTGCCTCTCTAAAATAATCAATCACATAATCTCTTCTTGCCCACTGGTACAATGTCAGGATATCACGGATACCTTCCTCAAAACAGAAGAGAAGCTCAAATTGTCAAAAGGTTGCCCAGGATTAAGATTAAGGTAAAATTAAGATTAAAGGTAAAAGTAGGATTAGGGGTAGTTATGAGACTGCAAGGGGAACCTGTGAAAGTTATTTGCTATAATTGGAAGGTGTCTTTTTTTTTTTTTTAATGGAAAGAACCCTTTGGATGGGTTACACACCTATGGCTTATCTCTGGATGTTTCACAGAAGTGGGAGAGGTAATGGAAGAAATAAAAATAAAGGGATGGACATGGAATTCATTCATCACAGTATCTGAGCTATATCTGAGTAACTTCAGTATTTTTATCAGGTTTCCTAGTTCAATAAAAGAAAAATTGATACTGAGGCAATTTAAGTAGGTGCAAAGTATTCTGAGATTCTCTCAAACCACCTACTTACATGGTGAAATTATTACAGAAAACAACTTCAAAGCACCTACATAATTTCACAAAAAAAGAAGAAAAAAGAAGATACATACTTTCTGTTCCATGCACAGAACCCAGTGAAGTCTTTGGCTTTTTGGTCTTCTTTTCCGTTGACTTTAAAGACTCTAAAATTGGAAACAGATTGCAGGGGGAGGTTAGAATAATTAAGAATCAAATCTCCATTTTGACTTAAAGAGCAATAATTGAAATGAAAAAAGAATTCTGGTTTGTGTTTCATTTGATTCTGATTGGGCTAGAAAGCAAATGGAGCTCGTTGGCTGTTGTGATATTTAAACAAAGAGGACTTGGACAAGCTACATTTTGAAGAACAGAATGAAAATAGTTTTCTTTGCTCCCCAGGAAATGTTACGATTAGAACTCTTTAAGTCTCTAAATTTTAAACATCCATCTTATTACTTTACTCAAAGTGTGCATGCAGGTTATTTGGGTTATGTCCCATGTGGAAGGTTGTTTGTTATGAAAACATAGGAATCTGCTGAAGAGGACTAAAATGAAGGGAGTTAGGAAAAAAAGTCTATTGGGCTAATGTTGAAAGAACTGATCAAGTTTCAGTTTTTGAATAGAGCCACATAAGCTGAAATTAGGGTTTTATGCTAAAAAACTTCAGGAAAATTAAGACTATTTGCATGAAGATACACATTGTGTATGTTCTACCCAAAAACAGATGTTTGTATCTCTGTACCATTGTAAAAACGTATTTAACCAAAAGCAATAGTGAAACCAACAGAGTTTGTACATATTCTATTGGAAGATATACTGTATTCAAGGAAAACAAAATTATTTTGGTATTCACTATGTCTTTTGCCTTTTGAGGTAATATTGCATCTTTGATTTCTCATAATGGTCACTGGTGTGCTTACTTGTGGCAAATAAAAATCAATTTAAAACATTTAAAACAAAACAAAGCAAAGCAAAGCAAAAACACAACACAACATTCTACTGGATGGAAATGACTAATCTAATATATAGGTCTGGTCAAGCAAGTTACTAACAAGGGCACATGCTATAATAATTTTGATGAATATGAACTGATCTAGGTCTGGTAAGTGTTGACTGGAAACACTATGTCTGATACTTGTAATTTCAAAATGGTGTCTCTTTGCAAAACAATAGCTGCCTTTATTTCCAGTACAACTTTACAAACAAAATCAGGAACAAAATACTGATATTTGTAGTCTAAATTTAAACAAAAATGGTGATTATTCTGGGTATGAGTTACTGTTAACTTCTCAAGTTTCTATTTCAAATATTATGGCAGGATTGAATTTGGCAGAATGTACTAGGTTAGCAAAAAGACTCCTACTATTAGCAGAACTTCATTATACTGGCTGTAGTAGTAATCTATAAATATGAATCTTTGCTTCTTTGTATGGTAACTACCTAATCACCTTATAATAAAATAATGAAAACTGAAGAGTGAAGTGCTATGGTACTTGTTAAGTATTTCCTTATACGGTCACAAGAGTGGGGTCTGATGTCAGACTCCGCTCATTGGACTGGCCACTGGTGGGAGAAATGAAGTCTCGTCAGTGGCTGAAACTTTGGACAGTGCTGGTGATACAAGCCGGCGCTAGCCGTGGCTGGGCAGCTGTTACTTAAACTACACAAATAAAGCTGTTACTTGTTCCTGCCGTGTCCTGCCTCTTCAATCCGTGCACCCATCTAACACTACTGTTCTAATTTCATTGTGAGTAAAGGTGGGCGATGTTCAAAATAAATTTGCATTTAAACTGCAAGAGCTAATTTGTTCTAATGATGCAACATAACCTTAAAAAGACACTGAAGATCTTGCAACATATCTTGCAAAAGCTAGGCTTTTATCCAATGCCCTCTGCCAAGAATTTAAATTATCCTCAAATGGCTTAAGAGTTACATGTGAACAGAAAGAAAGAAAGATGAATTGGGGAAACTAAGGAAGGAACAATGGGGATGACCAATATATCTGTGGCTAATAACTAGATATTGAGAACTGACGTTCTATCAATATCTTTGGAATTTAGCACGTGGCTGTTCATTGTCCAATAGTGAGGAAGATGGAAAGGCCACGACCTGAAATAAAGCAATTGTGATGAACGGAACAACCGATTTTTTTAAAAAACCAGGGATTTTCCCCTGATTTCATCTATTCAATTTGTCGCAAATTAGTCAGCATGTCTGAAGAATGTATAGCTAGAGGGCCTTGGTGACTTCAGTGGTATTGTTCTACACACAGAATGATCTCTGCTGACACAACAATTCTCCCTCACTTACCCCAAGGCACTTCAGAAACCTGTAATCCATAGGGAGAATCAAAAATTTCTTCAGAGCAGGTTTAGGAAGCCTATAAGGGTTGCAGCTAGTATCCCACTATAGGAGCAAAAATCTACAGATAGTCTTCGTTTAGCAACTGCTTTATATAATGACAGTTTGCAGATATGATCAAGATGAAACAGTAACTTGATCAATCATTGCATTTACAACCTTCACAGGTCTGTAAAGCAAATGAAAGCTGAACTAGGGTTTCAGTGCAGTTGCAATTTCACTTACCAACTACTTCACTTAATGACCAAGTTGCTAGTTCCAATTGTGGATGCTAAATGAGGAGTACTTGTACTTGTGTAATGTTTTTCTTCTTCCAACAGTCCAAAACTAAAACATCCAATTATACTGTCAATGAATTCAGAACAGATAAGAGGAAATCTAAAATGTGTAATTAATCTACAAAGTACAGTGCCATTGGATGTGATAAGGGGTTTAAAAACTAATTAGATAACTAATTAATGAAATGCCTACCATTAATTATGATGATGATTATATGGAACAATCAGATTTGGAAAAAATGAGTTGCTAAGAACGAATTTGGAGCATGATTTCATGTTGGGATTTACTTGGTTTTACATTAATTTGTTGTATCTTTTACTTTATAAGCAGTGTATGATATCTGAATCCCACCAAACTGTCCTATTTGAAACAAACAATATCCTAGTGTGATGAATCAAGAGTCCAAATATTAGTTTTGTAATTGACAGAGTAGCCACCGCCAAACACAGTCAGTCTAATAAACCCCAAAAGAGAAGATGAGTGAAAATGTCAACCTTTTGAGCTAGATCACGTGAGGAAACAGACACCACATGAACTACTGAAACTCTTATTGTTTTAGGTTATAATAAAAGAACCTTGAAAACTGACACAGATTGTCCCTCTTCCCACGTATACTAAAGGGAATCAAGGCAAGGCAATCTTAAGTGCTTTCCTTCCCCACCTCCTTTTGCTTATCTGGGCTAAGTTGAGGTTTATATGAATTCCTTCCGCGGGGTCATCTCCAAATTACTTTATGGAACACAATAATATAAATTTCCCTAAGTGAACTGGGAAAAAGGCTGGATTTAAGTAAAATAAAATTAATATACTGACTAAATAAAAAGTCTTAGGGATAATCTACACTGCCACAAAAGTTACATGTGCTTTGATTTAAGCTTGAGTTGGTTTTGTCTGCTTGCATTGGGAGTGGTGGATGAAAACTAGCAAAGAAACAGTCGTGCCCAGAACAACAACAAAAGCACAAGCTCTATTCATTATTTTCTTGGTTGATAAATTTCTATCACAGTTCCAATTCAACAACAAAGCACTAAAACAAGAAACATTAGACTTGTTTGTTCTTCACATCACCTATGCTATTAGTTTGTTAATATTAAATCTTATCTTGTGTGCAGTAACTCATCATTTGGTTAAAATGGTTCAAATATAGATGTTTCTTTGACACAGAAACAGTATTCCATAATTATATTACCGTAATAATACTGAATACTGAAGTAAATTCGTATTTGGCAAAATTTTGGCAGCATGGAGGGCCTTTAACTGAGGCACAATACAGACACATGATAGCCTGGTTTAATGTCCCATTCAAGAGCCAATTTACTAGGAAAGGCATATGGACCAGGAAGAAACTAAAAAGAAACCCCCTCCCCCTTTTTGCATAGTTTTAGGAATGGGAATCAGACAGGAAGGAATTGGAATTTTGACATAAACAGAATCAGAAAAGTACTACCTAAGGCCTCTTAAGAACAGTTCTGAGTCTAGGGTCAAGTTACTTACCTTCCACTAAGACGCTGCAAATGCATTCTGATCTTCCTGCAGTATTCTCAGCTATGCATTTGTACTGGCCCTCATCCTCAGGAAAGGCTTTGTCAATGGTCAGGGAGCACAATGAGCCTAAAGGAAAGCAAGAGAAAGTCACAGAAGTGTAATGAATTAAATTAAAAAGAACTCTACTCAATGAAGAATTGATGACCAAAATCATAATCTAACCATAGTTTCCAACATGAGAGTATGCCAAAAGGTTGGTCTTACTTTTGATTCAGTGAAGTCTAAATTGCATGGAAATAGGTTTTCAGAAATTAATAATGGTGCTATGATTAAGACATCAAAAATTTTAATTCCTGCCTTTATCTCTTTTCCAGTGCAATTTCAAGTCAAACAACTTGGGTTTAAAACTATAGATGTTCAGTTAGAACACAGAAAAATATAAACAATTCAAATAATATCCTTTGCTCTGGTTGGAATTATAGCACCCAGAAATTCCAAATAACATGACTGTTGACCATGAAACTATTCCTATAGATTTTGCTTCCTTCAATTTGATCAAGTTTTTGGTTTTGGAAATCAAAATTTACAAATCCTACTGTGTTTTCACCAGTGTTCCAAAATCTAATAGCCTTCAGATTTGTGGGACCATCTCTCAACATTAACTATGTTCTTAGGATTGCTAGGAATTATAGGTTAAGAATATCTGGAGGTCCATATGTTTTGCATCCCTACTCTAGAAAATTTATGTGAACAATATGTCATTATGTCATATTATATATAGTTTGTATATATATTATAAAAAGTATATTATATATACTTTGATTAAAAAATCCACTATTACCAGCATCACCACTCAATCTAGTTCAGAAATTAATAGAGTCAAATCAATTCTGATTGCTCACTACATTACAAAATACCAATTTCTCATTCTCTTCAAAAGTCAGAGCAGAGGATGTTCACTTTAGAATTAAAAATATCTGATGTTCCAAGCTTTAATCATGCACAAGTGTTTTCCTTAAAGTACTTCAAGTAAATGTACAAACAAAAAGCAAAGCTAGCTATGTTTACTAAGGACACAACATTTTCCAAAAAGTCTGTGACCTATGCAATTGCTTCTTTCCCTGGGCTGGGAGAACATATGTCTGTCAATGAAACATTTGGTATTTCCTCCACAACAGCCCTTTGTTGACCTCCAGAGATGAGATTCTTTTCTCATAGTTCTGAGAAAACTCTGTCTGGTGACTCCAGTATGGAATTCTGAATTTCTTGGCACCTTACAAAATAAAATCCCAAGAGAGAACAACAGCATTGCTGCAAAAGCTGATCTATCCCTTCCCTGATCTGTTTATATAGCTGTCAACTAACTAATAGTGTGTTATGAAAGTTATATGTCTAAAATGAGCACTGCAATATTTTGAAAAAGCAACTTCAGTGCATTAGGCACAACATGGTCAAAATGTTTATAGCTGGGATTTTAACAGAACATGTTTCCCAATGCTGTGGGAAGGATCCAATCTTTCATAGACTTTATAGCATAGGCTATAGATTCAAACACTCTTAAGACACTCTTGAGTTTTGGACTTATTTGAAGGTGATGTTTAGTTTAACTCAAATAATGCAAACTTGGCAAAAGATTTCCAGTTCTTGTCAGCTTGATAGTCAGTTGTCTTCAAAACAAATATGCAAACCATCAAAACAGGGTAGCTTTTGTGTTTTACTTTCCTATCATAGTCAGCAAAACATGTTCCTTCTTCCAGCTGTAATAACTCCTGCTATGTACCTCAAGAAATATAAAAAAATTACTGGGATGGTGAAATCTGAAAAAACAATCAAGGCTGAGGCATACAAATAACCAAAGTTGGGAATTTAAGTTCAGCTATCTTTTCACATTATGCATTCCTGCCGAAGTATGCTACCTTATTTTACCTCCTACTAACAGTAAGTATCTGATATACTAGTTTTACAATACCCATTTTGTATTCTGCAAAAACACATTAACGTATTAAGGCCATCACAATATACTGTTCCATGAATTAATAAAGAACAATATTTTTCACAAATAAGGTTCCAGGTCTGGACCCTAAATATGGTTGAGTTTTCAAAAGTCAAATGTTCCTTCTGCCATTTCTTTCTTGGCTTTTGATGGTGTTTTCAGTGGATAAAGCACCAGAGTTCTACTTGTTACAAAAGACTGGTTATAAAACTAAAGAAAAAGGAACAGCAAATGAGCACTCTCATTTTGGACATTACTGATGCACTGAGACACAGTTCCCTATTCTCCAAATTACAATTTGGTCATCTTAGTAGAAGTGTAGCTTATTTGTTCTGTATACTGATTTCTGCTATAATATTGGAATCAGCTGCGATGTCTCTTTTTCCACAAGGACTATTCCCAGATCTACTCACCCACAGATTATGGGGAGGAACTCTAAATAAACTTTTATGCTTTTTTTTTTTTGCTAATTCTAAAATATTTCAGATGAAGGACAGAAACATCCGTTCAGTAAAACTAGAAACATCAAAGAAGTTAGAAAATTATGGTCCCAGCTGGTCAGGAACCAGAGCTACCCTAATTCCCACTAAGAAAGCATCTGGCAATGCAAGCAAGATTCTGAGAATGGGCAATTCATCATTACATGTGATATCCAGTGTTTCTAAAAAAAAAAAAAAATATGAGTTTCCAAATGTGTTTTAAAAAAATCTTACTATTAAGATTCATTTGCTCTTTTACAGTAAGTGCTAGGGTAAAATTGATGCATAAATGCAGAACAAAATTCTACATGCTATTTTTAAAGCTACTAGCCATTTCTTGTATATGGTGTACAGAATATATAAATATACAGAACACAAAGTTCACACATCTAACAGTTTCTGTAAGAGACTATCGGCATTGGAAATACAAGTAGTGTACTGGAACAGATACATACTGGGATTATTCCACACACTCCTTCAAAAAAGCAAGGCAATGCAGGAATATTCCCAGATCATTTTTGAATAAGAAACATCTCTCAGGTAATCTTTAAAGCTATTAAATGGTATGACTAATTTACTTTTATTTCTTTAAAAGATTTGTAAGGCTGCCCATCTTAAAACACAACTCTGGATGGCTCATGACAATAAAAACCCTAATACACAAATAAAACCATAATATACAACAAAAATCCCAGATATTCCCTTGAGATGCTCCAACAGCCAATCCAAAACACTTTCTCTGTACCCCTGCCTTTTACCTGGGTAAAAAGCTAAGTCTGGATGATCTTCTGGAAGGTTAAGAGAGAGGAGGCCCGCCAGATCACCAGGGGGAGGATATTCCAAAAGGTAGAGGCAGCCACACGCAAAAAAAGGCACAATTCTGAGGTCCCACTTAATGGGAACATTTCAGGAAAGGGACTGGAGTATGCCTATCCTATCAATCTGCTAGAACAGGCAGACACTCTCAGAAAAGTTGAATAATCATGGCAGAATAGAAATTATAATTCTAATTCATTTCCCCCAGCAATCATTCTGCAGATACTGATTCTTAGAACAATTATGTATAGAAGACATCTGGCTAAGGAAAGACTGGCATATGAAAATTGATAGCAAAACCTTTGACTTATAATTTTTCTTGAAGAAATTGGCATTATTACTGGAATTGCATCAAATAATGTGGGTAAGTAGTATGGGCTCTGCTATAAATTGAATATTTTACTTAGTTAATAGAATATCTTCTTTTATAGATAAAGATAAGCTCTTTCCATTTTAGGCTTCCAGATAAATTGGCAAAGCAGAATCCATGACGTTTCCACAAAGCTTCCCCTAAACAGGGGAAATGAACAGAGCTGTGCCATATTTTGCAGCCAGAAATGCTCTAATTTATTCAACATGTAAATTCTCTCAATTAAAAATTAAAGTAACAAGCCCAAACCAAAGGAGCACAATAGCATTTCTTTTTTAACCTTCTCTATTCTATTTGTCACTCCAATCTGAAAACCCAGAGGGTCTTAGGTAATCCTGAATACAGGAGTAAGTTAAAAATAGTAAGAACTAGGAACAAAAAATGACTAATACCTGTAACTACTTCTTACACTTCGGGCATTTTTCCCCAAATGTCCTCCAGAAGAGCTGTATTTTTCAGTTATTGACAACTTAATAGAGAATAGTTTGAATGTTGCAGGGAGATTATTCCAGTTGAGTGGGGGACACCTTTGAGAACACTCAACAATGAAGATGGCATTCCTCTAATGGCAGATGTCACTAGATAAGAACATTCCACTTAAGAGGAGGCAGCCTCAGAAGTACCCATGCCTTAAGTCATGAAGGGCTATAAAGAAGAAAGAACCTTGAATTGAACCTAGAAGCTATCTAGCAGCCAATGCACACCCATATCAGTATGACCTTTGCACACTGTACTAGTTGCAGTTTCTGAGCGGTCCGCTCTGTACAGTACAAATTGCAATAATCCACAGATGAGCATGAGTAACTATCAGGCAAAACTTCATGCCACGTAAATAGCTGCAACTGGCCATGTAATTGTGCAAAAAGCTTTTGGACGAGGCCTCCAACTGATTGTTCTAGCAGTAAGTATGAGTCCAAGAGATCTCAAGTCAACTCTGTCTAGGGTGAACATATCCCTATGCAGAACAAAACTGAGGCTAAAACCAGAATCCGTTAGCTTCAAATCCACAGGCAACCCATCTTGCTTGGATTGGGCCAAAGTCTATTTCCCCCTTAGCAGCTTTCAGGCACCAAGACTTTCACTGTACCTCCTCTATGATATGAAACAACATTGATGATATCTCATCCAAAGACCTTTCTCAGTGGCTTTGTGTATGTTAAGCTGAAAGAGGAGAAGGGGTATGCATTGCAGCACCCATAACCAAGTACCAAAGGGTTTAATCTACCCTGCTTTCAGAAACATCAGAGGTAAGGCTGCTGCAACACAGCACTGTTTTTAACCTCTTGCAACTGTTTCTCACAAGGCTACAATGGTTGATGGTAGTGAACACGACCTGATAAGAATAGAATAAGATGATGAAAAGAACTAGACAGACAACTCTGAACAATTATAGTAATGACTACTGTACTGAAAAATATGCATTTCTTTGAATATTAGTCACTGAGAAGTAGTACTTTTCCAATAAATT